CACACACACACACACACACACACACACACACACACACACACACTGAGTTGTTTTTTATTGATTCTCAATCCCATTCTTAATCTTAAATTTGACTTGATTTCTCACAATTTTACTGTATAATCAGATCTGTATCACAGCAATGTAAGAAATGTCAGGTGCACACATATCTTTTCTTCTCATCAGTTTGCTGGAGTTGTCTCTGAAAAAGTTGGCCATCATGTTTGGGAAGTCCTGGAATGACCTGGATGATTTCAAACGGATCTTCTGGAAACTGAAAAGCCCAATAGCTGGTCGGTATAGTTACACCCAACAAACTCATCTCAAAACCTTCAAAATGCAAGGGCTGGGCATTTGTCATGTGGTGCACTACAATTATATTAAACTCTACAAAAGAAATCTAAATTCCAAATGTGTGATCTATTTTTCTATGCCACACCAAAGCCAAATCTAATGACAACACAGAAAACAAGGTGATTACGTTTCATTTTTGCCAAGAAAGGGGTAGCCAAGCAATGTCAATACTGAATACAAAGCCTTTATGAGATAAGATACATTATTTAAGAGAAGAAGCCCACAGTTAGCTTGACTGAATAACGTTTTGACGAGAAACATCTTTGCAATGAGGCACAAAGGTGCTGCACTATTTTATATTCGTCGATACAGTTACAATTTCACACCCAGTATATGTTTTTGTGTCAGAGTACTGTATGGAGCACTGGAAGGAGGACTGGTTCTTTGGATACCAGTGTTTGAATGGCTCCAACCCAAGGATGATCCAGAGGTGCAAGAAACTGCCAGAGAACTTCCCTGTTAAATCAGACATGGTGCAGAGCTCCATGGCTCCCAGAACCAACATGGACAAAGAACTCAAGGTGGGGAAATGCATTTATAATCTAAGTAGGTTTTATGGGAAATTGATTTGAAAATTCTTCAATTCTCTTGTACTGTCTCGTGTCCAGGAAGGAAATATCTACTTGTTAGACTACGCCATCCTGGATGGTATTCCCGCCAACACAATCAAGGGTAAACCTCAGTACATTGCTGCTCCACTCTGTCTCCTGTACCAACACCCAGATAAAGGACTCATACCTATCGCTATACAGGTATACAATTCACTCTTATTATGCTCATAGACCACGAGTGAAATACTAAATGAACTCAATGTGTTACTGATGTGCCTGTACACAATTATACATGCAGTTTATATTCAATGAAAGTTGATTTGCTTTAATGTTGTAACAGCAGAATTTGAGCAATTTAGGTACAGTTTTTTTA